CCCCGCCTGCTCCTCGCCCTGCCCCTCGCCCGGTCCCGCGAAGTGCCTGTGTCTCCTCTGCATCCGGATGACCTCAGCACGGTCGCCGCCCCCTGCGCCCGCCGCACTGCCGTAGCCTCGCTACCCTGTCCCCGCCGGGAGGTGCACACAAGTGTGACCCCGCCGCGCCCCTGCGCCCCGCCTGCAAGAGGGATCCGGAGAGAGCGGCACCGAGCGCCAAAGCCCAAAGGATCCCGATGGATCTCTGTGTGAGCGGCCACAGGACGCCGCGGCCGATCCCCGGCCCGGGCCAGATGTACCCCTCGCCCGTGCCGCCGCCGCCCCCGCCGCCGCCGCCGCCCCCGCCGCCGTTGTCGGCCCCCCCGGCGCGCCTGGCCCCCAGCACCCCGCCGCCGGCGGCCCGCTCGCGCATTCCCCTCGATGTCGAGGAAATCATCATCCTCTCCTCCTCGCCTCCCGAGCCGGAGGACGATGCCCAGCGGCTTCCCCACAGCCTGTCCGACGGGGCGGCCTCCTCCCCCGGCTGCGCGACACAATTCACGCCGCTCTCGCGCCGGCACCGGCCCTGGGCCAGCATGCCGACCGGGGGCCTTGGCCTGGGCACCGATTCGCTGGCGGCCCCCCTGCTGGATGATGGTCCCCCCTCGGACCATGCCCCGGGCCGGCGGGCGTCCCCCTCGCCCGATGGCACCGGCACGCTGGCCACCTCCACCATCACCTACGCCAGCAGTGCCCTGAGCGAGCAGCTCGGCGACATTCGATCTCTCTGGTCCCGAGGCCACGAGCCGGAGGTGGCCCTGGCCCGACAGCTGGCCGTCCTCCAGCGCCAATTGATGGTTGCCCACCCGCCGCCAGGGGCTGGCCTGCTGGCCGGCCCCGCCGGCGCCGCCCCGCGCCCCGGCCCCCCACCGCCGGCCGGCGTCTCTTCACATACCCCCTGCTCGCCGGAGACATCGGTGCGCCCGGCTCTGCCCTGTTGCCTTGACCCTCGCGGCCCGGTGGCCGGCGCCTGTCGCCACGCCTGTTCTGACGCGCGCCCTCCCCCCCCCCGGCCAACATGAACCCAGCCCACGGCTCCGGAGCGAGATCCCCTCTTTTCCCTGTCCCCCTCGTCGCAGGTGTCCTACGAGCAGCGCCACGGCTCGCCACGCATCAAGGCCGAGCCCCTGACCTCGCAGCCTTTTTCCGCCTCGGCCGGCTGCCCCGAGGAGTATGCCGGCCTGCTGCTGGCCGACCTGGCGGGTATGGGCCCTTCTCCTCGCCATCCGTCTGACCCCTCGCGCCCCCTCCTCCTCCTCTTCTTCCTGCCCTTCTCCCTCTTCCCCGCCGTGCATGCCCCACTCACCTTGCCTGTCCATCCTTCCGCAGACCAGAGCGACCTCATGCTCCAGGACTTTATCGACAGCGTTTCCAGCAGCAAGCCCACCGGCCTGCTGTCCTTTCCCCCGCCACCGGCCCCGGCTGTGGCTCTGGGCATCGGGCCGCGGCCCCCCTACCTGCGACAGCCTGCCCACCACCCGAGGCCACACCCCTCACATGGAGGGCCATCCCCGCGACCGGGGATGCCCACGCCCCCGGGGCCGCCTGCACGCCCGGGGCCAGCCACCTATGTGGCCCCGCCCGCGCACCCGGGGCCACCTGCACATTCAACGCGCCTGGTGCGCCCTCCCCCATCGTATGCCCCCGGCTCCGGGCCATCTGCCACACCGGCAGCCCGCGGGGGCTCTTCCACCACGGCCCCCTTTGCCAGCACACCCGCGCCATACCTCCAAACCCGGACCAGCTCCCTGCCCGGGGCGGTCGTCTCATCGGAGGATGTCCTCCACACCTTCCCGGGCCTCAGCCCGGCCGACATTCTCTCCCTGCTTGACGACTTGGACGACCTCGACGGCTGCGCCTTCGACGAATAGAGCCACACAATCCTTGCCGATGTGCCCTGTGACAGGGGGCGAGGCGGGGGGGGGGGGGG